TCGCTCCATCAGTGATTGGAAAATACCTGGGGCTACACTTACGCCAAACTGGAGACGCTTACATCTGAATGCCCCTCTGTGTGTAACTATGGTCTGTAAGTCAGCTGTTTGGTTATCCACGGGGAACTGTTGGTATGCCTGTGACATGTCCAGTTTGGCGAAAATGGTGCCAGGTTCGAATGTGTGTAACAGGTGCTGGATGACTGGGACTGGATATGCGCTAACCTGTAGATAACAGTTGATTGACGTCTTGTAGTCAGCACAAATTCTTAGATTACCGTCTTTTTTTAGCGGGGTGACTATGGGGGTCTCCCACTTAGCGAAATCTGTGGGTTCTATCACCCCTTGTTTTAGTAGTTTGTCTAGTTCCGCGTCCAATTTGGGGCGGATGGCGAAGGGTACTCTACGTGGTTTTAAACGAACGGGGACTGCCTGTGGGTCTACTGAGAAGGAGATGGGAGTGCCCTTATAGCAGCCTAACTCACTACTGAAAACGTCAGAGTAGTCTGTAAATAAGGAGTCAACATCAGAAGTTGAGACAGCATGGACTCCTTTTATACTAAGGCCGAGAGAGGGGAACCAATCCAACCCCAAAAGACTAGGGAGGGCACCATTAACAACCACTAAAGGCAAATGGCCTTTAAAGGTTTGGAATTTCACGAGAAACTTGCCTTTCCTGAGGACGGGGATGTTCTTTCCTTGGTAGTCTCTCAGGGTGAGATGGCACTTTTGAAGCTGTTTCTTTGTCAGTCTGGGCTGGATCTTCTTAAGCGTGTCCCAAGATATGATTGAGAGCGCTGACCCCGTGTCTACTTCCATGCGGCAGGGATTACCTTCTAGTAAAACAGAAAGTGTAATTTTATTGGGGGTATAGAGTGTGTGGTTGGCTTGGTAGCAAGTATGGCATTTTTCTACTTGCCTTCGGGGAACAGGAGAGGAAGGATATCTTTGTGGAGATGTGCGCGCTGCCTGGCAGACTCTTGCGAGGTGACCTTTCTTGTGGCAGTTGTGGCAGGTGGCGTTTCGGAACCTGCAAGATGTCCGGGAATGGGAACCTCCACAGGTCAGGCATAACAGAGTTTGTTTTGGACCACTGTTGTTTCTTGGCCTCGCTCCTACCTGCGGCTGTCTCGTTGGTTTGAGGCGATGCACATCGGAGTATTCTGCCGGGTCATCCCCACTTACCGCTTCTTCAGAGTGTACGGAGGAAGTGCTAGGTCTGGGAGTGGTGCCCTGGATCTCAGCTGCGGACTGTGCTGCAAGTTCTGCAGCTAAGGCTTCCTCAACTGCCTGGGGGAGGTTTAGGTCTCTTCTAGCCAGCAAACGCCTCTGGAGTTTTTGATCCCTCACCCCACAGACGAGTTGGTCTAGTAGCATGTCGTCCAAATAGTTCTTGAACTCACATTGTAGAGCTGCTGTCCTCAGGGCTGCCATATATTGGTTTATGGATTCCCCCTCAGCTTGCTTCCTCATCCTAAAAGCGAAGCGCCTAGCAATCTGAGACGGTTTTGGGGAGTAGTGGTTGGATAGCGTTTCCACCAGCTCTGCCCATGGGACATTCCCTATTTCTCGTGGGGCCAGGAGTGCTGTGGCAGTGTCATATACTACAGCCCCACAGTAGCTGAGGAAGTAGGATTTCTTCCTCTGCTCTGAAGCTTCAGCCAGTCCAATAGCATCAATAAAGTGGTTGAAGCGATTTTTATATGAGTCCCACTTTTCCTCATCGGGTTTAAAAGGGGGAAATACTGAATTGACATTCATTTTGGGTCCCTCAGTCTCTTGGTAGACTGGTCTGCCTCACAGGGAGCTCGTTGTCTTGGATTGATGCTGCTTGGGGGCGTGGGCGGCTGTGGCTACAGTGCCCTATTCTCACTCAAGGACTTCGGCTTTGCTGAGGCGTTTGGATTTTAGTGCTCTTTTGCGAGCGTTAGGCGGCTGTGGCTGTGGTGCTGTACTGACAGCGCTTTAAAATTCGAGCCTTTTTTCTTATTATTAATTTTTTTGTTTGTTTGTTTGTTTGTTTGTTTTATTTATCACATTTAGCACCCACCCAACTCCCTCACAGAGGAGAGACTCTGGGCAGAGAACGAATAAAACGTTCAAAACATATAAACGTTAAAGGTGTTGTTGTATTTCAAGGGAAAGAGAGGCTTAGACCAGGGCATGCAATTAACACGTTTATTGAAGGAACAGTGGTTGTCGCGTCTGCCAGCCAAACGGGCAGACTAGCTTGCGAACAACGGCTGGCTTGGCTTGACAGCCGGCTTTTTATAGTCGGCTGTCAAACGATGCCAGCCAATAGGAACGGCTGTTGAACTTGCTTAACGAGTGGACCCGGTTGGAGCCCCAACCGGTTCCCAAGACATAACAATAGGTATTGACTAATTTTCCATCAGTTAATTGAAGAAGGCAGCTTTACTTGGAATAGTTTCCATCTTGCAGTGATATCTGTAACACCATCAAACATACAGATTTGCCTATCCCAGGTCCTTGGTAATGACTCAGTTGGTAGGCAAAAATGCCAAACCCAGTCTGAACATCTGGCTGACTATGCAATTAATAATAATAATAATAATAATAATAATAATAATAATAATAATAAAACACAAACCTAGATTCTTGATTGTTACCACTGAGTACAATTTATCTGTACACCCTACTTGAAAGATACTGCGAGTTATAGTAATCAAGAATTTATTGAGTCACTTGACATAGTTTAAATGCTGTCTTTGCCAGCTGTCCCAGGAGGGTGTTAAAGGTATGATTCAGTGCTTTGTTTACACCAAACATGATTGCATTGTATATAGTACATATTGAAAGGTTTATTTAGGAAGAAGAGATAATATCCAAAAAGAAATTCCCATTTTATCTTTCAGTGTGGTAGCTTGAGTTAGTTAATAAGATTTTATTTCTCTGGAATCCGGTCAGGCTTGCATTTCTACATACTGTATATTCCCTTATGCATTTATGGCCTTGATATGGAAGTAACATTCCTATGTATGGTGCCTGAATGGGAGCCTGAATGGTGTATAAGCATTCCAACCTAAAACATGGTTGTGCAGCTATGGAAAGATCTTGAGCACCCTGGAGGCCCAGGAAGGAGGGGATGAGAGTAGGGGAGATGGAAAAGAAGTCTGATAGCAATGAGTAATGCTACCTGGGCGTGTCATCTTCTTTTGGTTTGACACAGCTTTTTGTGTCTTTAATTATAATCCAGAAGCACATAGTATGCAGAATTACAGATACTTATTTTCTTATTGTCACATTTAAAATAGTACCCTTTTGCACAATAAAAGAGACACAAAAGATCAGCATAGTAGGAATAAATCCTATCTTATTATTTCTACAGTCATCCTAGAACCTCAAAGTTTAAATGTGGCATACTACATCATGTCTAGTAAACAGTTGTTCTTTGGTCATTTGTTCTTGACTTGATTATATTAGAAACAGTGTACATCCCAAGTGTGGAGGGGTGGCAAGGGGAGGAACAGGTTATAGTTACAGTGATTATCAGAAGGCACTGCTTTATTAGTTTCAACCTTATTGGGAATTCTCAGACAAGGGTACCCAGATGTTATTTTATATGGTCCGAACCCTCTAATATGAATACAGCTTACATCAGTATATACATTGCATTAGTTTTAGGAGCAGGGTGATGCAAATATTATATTATTATAACATGGTATCTCTAGGCATTTAAAAGATGGCGAACTGAATATACCATTCTAATGGCATTGTTAAACACAGAGAAGCAGTTGCCAAATTTAAAATGCTTACTAGTGGCCAGGCAGTGATAAGGGAGATACTACTATAAGTCACAAATGAATTAAAGCAATCAACCTCTAAAGGAAGTCCTCCTAAGATGTAATATTATTTATCTGTAGTAGTCCTACACTGTCAGTCCTGTTCCTTTAAGGTCACATTCATATTATGTTAATGTACTTTACGAACCAGATGTTTCCATTGTTACAGTGTGATTTCATAGTCAGTGCAATTTAAAAGTCATATTTGTGCAAAAAATATTTCATTCTCAGTAGATTTCATAATAATAGCATGTTATTATGAAATATAATAGATTTTATAATGAAACTGATTTTTATATTAATATTACAAGCACTGGAACTGAAACTTTCCTCTTTTGTGATTCATCAGACTGTATATAGATGTAGAGATTTGATATAAATACAAAAAGCAGACTAGAGCAATAGCCTTCTCTACAGTGATGTTTAGGTGTGAGCTGGAACACTAAGAATGGCTGATTGAAAAAGAATTGACATCTTTAAACTGTGGTGCTGGGGTAAATTATTGCATATACCATGGAGAGCCGGAGTAACTAACTATATGAGGTATTATTAAATAATATAACATCAAACGTTTTATTGGAAGCTAACATCATAAGACGCCTGATTAACTTTGGTCATGTCATGCATGCAAATTCATTGGAGAAAGCAAGATGCTAGGAATGGTTAGTGGAACAAGATGGAGCAAGCAAGGAGTACTCTGCTTGATAACATAAAAATTATCATGATGAACATCCAACAACTGAAAGAAGCTGTTCTTGATGGGAGAGCACTTGTCTATAAAGTCACCCAGAGTCAAGCAAAATTAAAAGGTTAAAACAGCAACAACTGTCATTAATGTTGCAAGTTACATTATAGACTGGGTAAAATCTATTAAATTAGATACCTTTTTCTGACAGTTTATGAGAACAGATGCCTATTTGAAAGGTTAGGAACCAGTGGTGGGATTCAATTTTTTTTTACTACCAGTTCTGTGTGGCTTGGTGGGTGTGGCAGGGGGAGGATACTGTAAAATCTTCAGTCAGAGGTAGTATTTGTTGGTTCTCTGAACTATTCAAAATTTCTACTATCAGTTCTCCAGAACCTGCTGAATACCACCTCTGTTAAAACATTAACTCCAAGCACTTTGCAAGATAGATTTGAAGAAAAAGAGGTACAGAAATTTTCTTCTCTATTCCACATACCTTCTCTCTGCATGACTTGAGGTCATTGTATCGTGTTGAGTCACTCAGATTGAAAATCCAAAGCCTATCAAATATAGCATCAATGTAATATATTTTATAAGGGTATATCAGGGCTCCCAGGAGATGCTTAAATGTAGGAATATGACAGGCCAGATATAGAGACACTATGGTACCTTCTGCTGAAGAACAATTCAACTTCAAACAATGACATAAAGAAGAATGGAACAGTGGCAGAACTCCATGCTTTCCATACAGAAGATCACATATTCAGTCTTTGTCACCTTCAGGCAAAGTTATAAAAAGCTGCATTGCCAGACAGCAGCTGGTTCATATATTGTTCAAAGCAAAGATGCATTTTTGCTATGGCTTGTTGAACAAATTACAGTTGCCTGATTTATCCACTTTATATAGGCTTACAAAATATATTGTTTAGTTTCATGAATTACCAATCAGCGGCTACTTCATATATTGTGCAAAACAAAGTTATGTTTCCACTTGCTTGTTGAACAAATGGCATTGGCCTGATTTGTACTCATCATATGGGCAAATGACCAAGTAGCATATATGTTCCTATCAGGCATTTTATTATGTGATTTTAAAACACAATATTTTATTAATGATATATATTGGGATAAATAAACCATCTGGTTTAATATTCTTTCAACTAAGAGATCACTCTGTAGTACCCATTCATAAATATAGCACATAAATTTTGTGAAGTAATACTAGGCAAACAGAACAACTAACATGTTCTGTTTTAAGAATAACTTAGAATCCTATATCGAAAAAAGGATTGAGACACTCCTGAAAACATATTGTTAAGGCCTAGGTGGGAGTTCCAAGATCAGAAAACACATATCTCCTTTGCTAGTCTGTCTTACTGTGAGATACACAAGCAGAACATTGGAATTCCTGTACCAAATATCCTTATTGCTATAAAATATCATAACTTCTCAAGATTTTTGTTTTTTTAATTGCTTTTAAAATATTATCATTTGTAAATGTCAGCAAGCTATATTTATGTCATGGGCATTTGGAATGAAATGAGAGAAAAAGCAAGGATACATTTTAAACCTTTAAAACTCAATCCCCTATTTTAAAAAATTACATTTGGGATTAAAATTTCAGAAGAACATGCATGGCATATTTATAACTTCTTTGTAATTTGTGCAGGATCAGGAAAATCCTAGCTACTGGCAAACTGGTTTCTCAGATATTGATGATAATCTTCAGTTCCTCTAAAAACAGCATTCTTGATTCAAGCCTATAGCTCTACTGATGTAGCCATGTCATATTTTTGGCAATGATATATACATTTTGCTGTTACTGTCTTGTGGGATGCGCCTACTTTTCACTTTAGCCTACAGCCCTAGTATTCTGTCCTCCAAGTACTGCTTAGCAACCCCAGGCAAGGTCAGGCAGATGCTACTAACAGCTTTGGTTTCTTTTAACCTTAGTTAAAAAACATCTGCACAAGCTACTGTTTGCCACTAACAACTCTAAATTCTGACTAGATTTATTTTTAAAGTTATCTCTTTACCCTAAGAATTTTTTCAAAACTACATTTTGATTTTATTATACTATGTTTTTCCCTCTTAGCCAGAGTGATATGAATAAGATTAAATATTTATTAATCATATTCAAGTGATTTGTATCTAAGGTGCAAGGAAATCACACCAGAGATGCTACAATATTCAGATTGATGGACTCTAACAAAAATAAAGATTTTCTGAGCAGGTCTTTTTCAATATGGGCAAAAGATTATTTGCATAGGATTGAGTTGCCAGTAAGAGCACCTGATGAGGAATGTACAATCTTGTCAAAACTCCACTTGACAGCTCAATGTAAACAATTCATAAATATAGCCAAAGGAAAATACATGTTTATGATTGTTTGCTCATCTTGAAAAGATCAAACTGTTAGATAGCAAAGTTCAGTGGATGTTTGCAGCTGACTCACAATGAGTTCTCAGTATATATACATTTAAAATTAAGTTACTAGATCCTATAAGGCTTTTCTCATCAATCTCAAATCTAGAGAGGAATTACTCATTGAGAAGTTATCCAAATCAACTGCATATTTACAATCACATGTCAACTACACAATAACCTCAAGCAAGCCATTTTTGTTATTATTCTTCATGTAGTAGGCAGAAAATAATATTAATTTCACTTATAGGGTTGGAGTAGGAGGTGAAGAATTTTTTGAGCTAATATCAGAGAAGTATCTTCAATGCCTAAAATATATTGTTTCCTGACTCTTGGTTTCATTTATTGATTAATGCATCAATGTTCAAGTTGCACATAGACGTTGATGGTAAGTTTGTTTTTGGATTGTTGGGTTTTGGGCTGTGTTTTTTTGCAATTTTTTATTGTTTTTTTTGAAAATTCGTGTATCTTTGAACTGGGATAGACATACTTCTTGAAGTCCAGCTGCTTTGATCAAACCTATCTTCTCGATCTATAACAACCACACTACCTCTTTTTTTCTACCTTTATGGCTGGACAATATACTTTAAGGCAGGGGTCCCGAATCCCCGGTCCGTGGCCCACCACCAGACTGTGGCCGATTCAGAACCCACCCACATAAATGGCAGTTTGGCGCGTATGCATGTGGATACCACTTAACCTGTATGAGCAGCAGGCTGGCATGTGTGCAATCACGCACACAGTTCAACTTGCTCACAGGAACTTGTTCCCCTTCTCCTCTTCCCGCCAGTGCACAAGCCACAAAGATTAGGGACTGCTGCTTTAAGGAACCACAGATGATTCTAGATAGATCATTTCATGCTGGTTGTTCCTTAGCATGATCTCTAGGAATGGCAAATGAATCACAGGTGTTTTTCTGACATGATCACTAGGGGCCAATATTAGAAGATACACATTTTAATATTTTTTAAGAAGTTCTCTATTAACGTCTACATTTATTTCAGAAGTGGAAATAAAGCATTATTGCCTTAGGACCATATTTCATACTTATGACCATTGCAGCATCCCCAAGTTCATGTGATCAAAATTCTGACATTTGCCTGCTGTCTCATTTTTATCACAGTTGCCCCTTTTGTGACCTTCTGACAAGCAAAGTCCAGTGGGAAGCCAGATTTACTTAACAACCACATTACTAACTTAACAGCTGCAGTGATTTCCTTAACAACTGAGGCAAGCAACCTTTTACAAACTTTTAAGTATAACTTTGGTTATACTTAACTATGGCTAATTAAAAATGGTAGTTTAACAATGTCTGGAGGAACTTGAGTTCCCATATCACTGAAAGAGTGTTACGTTAGTTTATTAATCCATTCAAGCATTTTTTTTTAGTAAGATTGAAATTGGAAAAAGGAATGTAGGATCTAAATAAGAAAAAGGCATCCTAATTTTTACATTGCAATATTGGACACAACCATTGTGAAAAAATCTATTGTGTGATTTCTGTTCAAGTGCTAGAAAAATTCACGGGAACCAGGATATTGTCCAGCTTCTTATGAATTTCAATGAGGTTTAGGCAGGGAATTTTTTTTATAGATGGCATCCTTTAACCCAATCATGTATTCACATTAAGTTTTTCTGCAAGTATTTTTTTCTGCAGAATCCCCAAGGCTGAAGTCTAATAAATAAGCCCAGTGGTATATACATATGTGTAATTCAGCTTAAATTAAATTTCACTTTGATCTAATATGTCTGCTAAAAAACATTAAGCTACAGCATGAGCGTACTTGCAGAACCTCCATATCATTCATATGCCAGAAAAAGAAAACATCACATTTGTTTGATTAACCACTCCATTCTGAGAGCTGAGAATGGATAAAAGCACTTACGAAACACTCAACAAAACAAGGGAAACAAAATTATTCCTGCTTAAAACATGGTCTACTAAACAAATTAAACATTGCAGACTTAAAGATTAACTCCTAAATTATCTTCTCATCTTACCCTCTTAACATAAAATCAACACATTAAAAATTGTATAAATCTTTATAGAAATTAAATTCCTCCAAAAAGGACTAATACCTCAGAATATTTTTGTGTCCTAGATAATTTTTGTCCCTTAAATTTCTTTTCTCTGTTAATTGTTTTTTTCGAGCTGTATGCTTTTAATTAGTTCACCATTTATTTTTATTTGGTTTTATTATGGAGCCTGCCATGAGATCCTCTGAAAGAAAGCTCTTCTCTGCTACCTCTTACATTTCTGTCGAGCACTTGATTTTCTGTGGCCAATGCAATGTAGCAATGGCCTGGGGAGGGTGACCCTGCCTGCTCTGTTTCTCACAAGACAGGTCACAGAGTCAGAGCTTGGATAAATCACTGCCTCTTGGCCTGTCCTGCCTAACCAGGTAGCCAAATAAAGTGGGAGAAGCATAGAGGCAGAAAATGTGTATGGTTAGCTGAAGATCTTTTAAAGAGATTGTATGACACTATAATAAATAAATAATAAATCACACTGGTTGGTTTTGATCTATTTGCTTCTTATTGATTCCGAGATGAGAAATTTTATTATTTGAAAGGAAAGGAAGTACTGCCTCTCTTTTTTACTTATTACAATCATACAGATTGATAACTGACTCTTCCATAATAAGGCAATAAGAGTATCAAAATCATTTGTTCAGCAATCATTCAAAGTTACAAAGAGACTGAATAAAAAGACTTGTTGCTGGTCTCAAATTGTAACCACTGCAGCCTAAAGTTATGATGGTCACAGCCAGTGGTGGTATTCAAATTATTTTACTACTGGTTTTGTGGGCGTGGCTTGGTGGCCATGGTGTGGCTTGGTGGGTGTGGCTGAGGAAGGATACTGTAAAATCTCCATTCCCTCCCCACCCCCACTAACATGCCTTCCAGGTCCGTTCTCCTGTGCAGGACAACAAAGAAGACCAGCCAATCGGGGACTCAGGAGGCAGAGAATAGATGCGGGCGGGCCAACCAGAGGTGGTATTTACCGGTTCTCCAAACTACTCAAAATTTCTGCTACCAGTTCTCCTACCAGAACTAGCTAAATACCATCTCTGGCTACAGCATCCCATGATTATGTGATCACGACTTGGGACCTCTGTCAGCTTCAGTTAAGAAGTCAATGGGGAAGCCAGGTAGAAGTCCCAAATTGCAGTCATATAACATCACACCTAACAACTACATGATCTGCTAAACAATTGGAACTGTTATCATAAATTGTTGTCATTATTATATTTTGTTTTACATAATTCAGCTGTCAAATTGCCTGTACCACATTAAGGGTCATGACTGTTAGTCTCCAGCAATCTCAGCATTGGTTGCTTGAAGCAAGAGTGTCATTCTAACAAAAGTTAGGAATTGGCCTGCCTAAATCTCGCAGAATTATGGATCTAGCTCTCTGGAGCTATAAATAAAGGAAACAGATCTTCCTTTCTTTAAAGATGCAACTCTAACAGTTTCTTGCAGATCGCTTACATTTCCATGTCATTCTTACATGTCATTCCATGTCATTCTTACAATATTCAAGCAGATGACACTTTGCTTTCTGGCAAAGTGTCACTTTCTACTTGGAAAAGGTTGAGGAGTTTTTAATTTCATGGCACTACATCATTGGGAAAACAAATCATTTCAGAGAAAGAAAGATACCTAGTTTGGTATTAACTAAAACACATGATTTTGGAAACAGAACATAACCCTCTCCAAAAAGAATTTATCTCAATAGAAAGAAGTACCACTGCATCTTTCTTAAAACTTAATTTACATTCACAAGGAAAATCCTAAAAATTGTAATCATTATGCAAAATATAGAAATGTATATTTCATATCCAATTCCCCCATTGATCTGCAGTCAATCAGTTTCAGAGATATTCTATTCTTCTGTAAA